TCTGTTCATCTTAACTAGCAAAATTTAGTTCCATTTGATTGGAGTTGATTCCATAGTTCTGAAAGCTGTTTTGTTGCTGTGTACACGTGCTTGTGCCTATTCCCTGGCAAACAGTTCTTTGAGTGTTTGAGTAGTGAAGTTACCTTCCTGGCTTTTCTGATAAAAGATGAGTATTTCTGATTTTTGTCAAATTTATTTTCAAGGTTCTTAGCTGTGTTGCTTATTCAGATTAGCAATAAAATATGGTGTGTAGAATGCTGGGCAGGTCATCATTTGCTTGTTGAATTAGCAGTTTGCCTCAGTTTCCTTGTGAGGAGGGAAAAAATAAGAAGGGATGTGATTTCATGGGAGTAGTCAAGGTAATGAGGCATTATGTGTGGAGAGATTGGAGGAAGCTCAAAGGCTTTGGTGCATGCTCTTCCTCAAAACTCCTGACTATCAAAAAACTGTTTAATTGACCTCTGGTACAATAATGAAGCTACAATTTATTTTTTTTTTTTTCCAGTGGCAAAAGATAGGACTTTTGGAAAGTCCTATAGGACTGGGAAACTTTTGTGTTAGAAATTACTTAACAGGTGTCTTTAACACCTTGAGTGCCAGTTGAGAACTGTTTTCATTACTTTCCCCTTTCTAGCTTTGCTTTTATACAAGGATTTATCTGAGTAGGCACTACTACATTAGTATCTGCCAAAAATGCGTATGGTATCCAAGTACCATTCCTGTTTAAGCTCACTTTGATATTTTCCAAACAGCTTGGTGTCAAACTGAGGCAGGAGCTTGAAAGGTGTGGACTGGTGCCTTCTGTTGTTTCTAACCATGCTTGGAGTGCCTGTTTTTTATAGCAGGAGTGCATGTTTATATATATGTCCTGAGCAAACTAATAAATAATTATTGGAAAGCTTCTAAATGAACTTGAAACCAAAAGTGATTATTACTGTCTTGCTTGAGTCTGACTGCTTCTTTCTGGCTGCAGGTCCTAAGAGCAAGACAGTGCTAACATCTTGGTGTAGGTGGCTTGCTTGAACTGGTAAGAGTTAGTTGAGAGGTGTCAAAATTAAATTATTTTACATTTTGCAGGTTCCCTTTTTGTCTCCTTTGGAAGGTCATATATATCTGAAGCTGAAATGCCAAGTGGACTCTTTGGTGGAGGAGAAAGGGTTCTTGGTAAGGTATTTACTGCACTCACTTTAAACTCCTTCCTTAGAAATTACAGGCCTATTAAATATAGTATTTTTTTTGATGTCACTCCTGTGTTTGAAGCTTAAAACTGGCTTGATTTTTTTTCTTTTTGGTGTTTTTTTTGGGGGGTGGGTTTTGGTGGTTATTTTGGGTTTTTTTTTGTTTTCATCTCTGAACCAGACCACAAATGTTTCTTAGGTTATCTTCTAAACATGTCTAAGTTAAGGCTACCTTTTAAGAGTTTGTGTATCTATCTTCTAAATGCCTCTTTATTTGTTTGTATTTTGAATTAACCTTCTCTCACTAAAATATGTAATGTTAGATGAGATTTTAATTTCCATGGCAGAAAATTTTCCAGGACTCTTTTTGTGTTCTAATAAAAACAAAAGATTGGGTTTTTCCATTGTGTTCACAGCCTTTAGAAATGAAAAAGAAACGGTACAAAATTACAAAAAATTACAACAGTAATTTTTTTTTGAGCAATGTCTTGTGCAGTTCTCTCTAAAACTGGACCTAGAAAATGCAGCTGATGCTTGGCCTAAGGGCTGGAACTGTTGAAATGTCCACAAGATGGCAGTAAATGTGCTTTGGAAAATGAAACATTAATATTTGCTGTTATTTTGGTGTTTCCGGAAATCACGATTTCTTTAGACTCTTTCCAAACACTGCTTTCTGTCTCCCTTTACTTAATTGAAGTTGAACAGATTTCATTAGATGCAAACATTTCATATGCTTATGGTATTTGCTGTCCCATGTTTCTGTGTACTTATTTAAGGAAGTCCATATTTGCTTCTACTATCCAATATGTAAAGCCTGAAGAATGGTGTACATGCACACTGAATTTGTTCAGAGTAAGGGTTTGGAAATTCTCTGCACCATTGAAAATTATAATCTGAATTGTGAAGAGTGAGAATCACAATACATACATTAATTGGAAAAAAAGTTCTTTACAAGTTCAAGAGGTATCAGGAATAGAAGTCAGATACTAAACTCTCCATTCCAGTACTAAGGAAATGGGGCTTGAAATTGATGAAATCCAGCATCCAGTAGAAGAACTGCCAACATAAGCATTTAAAAATCAATTTCTAATTTCCTTTGAACTGACTGGACTCTCTTGAGTGTGGCCTCTTGAATAGCTGCATGTTTTTTAATCCTGATTTGTAAGTCAAAAATTGCTTAAATATCTAATAATAATAATAAATTGGTTTTTGAACATATTTGGAGAACTACCCATACTGTATATACTATAAATAACCATCTTTACTTTAAAATAATGGAAATGCTTATCACCATTGACATGAAAATCTGGTAATTTTAAACAGCAATGATAGGTGGCTTTTAGCAAAAGGCTGCACACCTGAGAATGATGGTGTGAGCTAATTTTCTATGCCATCTGGAAAATAAATATACTGTATGAGTAGAAGCCTCTCTCAGTATAATTCTTTTTTCCTTCTCTTTCATTTACTCCTATGAAGGGTGGCACTTACAGAACCATTCTGATAGAAAAACAGTTAAGTACAGACCAAGCTCAAGGTAGAAAGTTACCCCATTTAATTTTTTGTTTTTAAGACTATGTTTGAAGATGTCAGTGGATTTGGAGCATGGCATAGGCGCTGGTGTGTGCTGTCTGGAAATTGTATCTCCTACTGGACCTACCCAGATGATGAGAAACGAAAGGTAATGCTGTTTTGTAATGCTGAAGTCCAAAGTTCTGTAGTATCCTGCACAAGCAGCTGTTCGTTTTTAAGCACAGTAATGTTTAGGCTTTAGATTGGTAAAACATGGGATTCAAGCTCCTAAAGCTTTCTTGGGGAATGGAGGGGACTTGTTTTCATAAAGCTGACCTAAATCAGGGCAAACTTAGTAACTGACTTCCCTGTCTTCTAGAAAAGGGGGAAAAGTTATGGAAGATCCATATTTCATTTCCCCTTTAGACTGAAGGCCTTCTGTTGTGCTCATCAAATCACTAATTATTTAAGTGAAATGGATTGGACTTGTATGGCTTAATAAGCAGACTGTATCTGGTTGCCTTAAGTTTTGGACAAAATGATAACACTTTATATAGTAAAAAAATGAGTAGACAATCCCTGTATATTGCAGAAGCATAGCTGCAATTATGGACTGTCTTATTTGAAGTCCTTGCCTTCTTGCAGCTCCACATGTAGCTGGAACTGGTCCTTCTTAATGGGTCTCACAGAAAATGAGGTTCTTGTTGGGCTAATGAGACAAATCAGAGGTTCATCTGTCGCTGAGGTGAACCTTCTTGTCTCCTTAGTGTGTTCCTGCCATGTACTAAAATGTTTCCAGGTTCTTTTGAAGACTGCTTTCAAGAGGGTTCTTCTGACTCACTGAAGTTATTTACCATTAAACACTTTGTTGTTTATTGGCAGAACATTTTCTTTCCCAAACTCTGTGGCAAACTCTGGTCCTTTTGGGACTTCTATGCCACTCCAGATGCCTGAGTTTAGTTTCTTCCCTGCTAACAGAGGAAGACCATATGCTGATAGTTGACATTGCCAAAATATATCAATGTACTTTCTTTCCTTGCCAGGAGAGAGGGAAAAATCTTTGCCTACTGTAAGACAAGATAGTAAAAAAAATAATCAAGAAGGTTCCTATTTTGCTTTTGTCTGCAAGGAAGAAGCTTTGGTTTGTTTTCCAGATTCTGTTCTGGAAAATCTTCTAGACTTGTTTCACTATTTTTGAGAGAAAGTCAGCTGCATTTTGGTGATCTACAGAAATACTAAACTTACTAAATGCATCTCCTTGCCCCTACTGTATCTGTTCTATCATGCAGAGATGGATGTCACTCAGAAATATCAGTATTAGGACATGATTTAAAGTAATTGTGGAATGTTTTTTTAAATAGATTTCTTACAATTGCACATGTATCACCTTTTTGTATGGAATAGCTGACTGAGGAAAGGTGTGTTCACTTAATATTGTCAAAGTTGTCAAAGCATATGTTCAGAATTACTCTGGATTGCAGTGTTCTTGACTGATGAACTGGTTTCACTTTCAGCATCCTTTGGGCCGGATAAACTTGGCTAACTGCACTAATCATCAGATTGAACCTGCTAACAGGGAGTTCTGTGCCCGTCCCAACACTTTTGAACTAATAACTGTCCGACCTCAGAGAGAAGATGACCGTGAGACGCTTGTCAGCCAATGCAGAGACACACTCTGCGTTACAAAGTGAGTGCATGAAATCATGGAGGTTTACCTCATGTGATAGTTTTAGTAACGTTGGAGCTTTACAGCTTTCTCATAATGATGCAAAAGTCATTTAAATGCTGAGATTTTTCGGTGGCACTTGAACTGGTTTGTTCACTTTTAGTCCTAACTGCTTTCTAGAAGTGGAAATGCCAAGTGGCTTAGTAGCAGGATCATGGAATGTTTGACTTAATTTTTAACCCTACTATTTGGGCTTCTATGGTTGATCAGCTTGACATTTGTCACAAAAACTAACTGGAGGTGGAGAATAATCCATGGGGTTCCTTGCCTTCTAGGAACTGGCTGTCTGCTGATACTAAAGAAGAGCGTAACCTTTGGATGCAAAAGCTCAACCAAGTCCTCATTGACCTTCGCATGTGGCAGCCTGATGCCTGCTACAAACCTACTGGAAAGCTTTAAACTCGGGAAGGGAGCTACACAAGAAAATAATTTAAATGAAAATGGGGGAAGTCTTCTGGGTCACTTATGCTTTAAGTTTGAGAGAGTATTTAACATTATACAGGACTATGTTATGCAGTATTTTTATTTCACTTAAAAAATTTTAAAACCTTTTTACTTCCTAGTTTTGAGTATGGTAGGAAGCAATTAGCTGTTTCTAAATGTGCTAAATATTTATATAACTCCTTTTTAGAAGTCTTCTAGCTAGGTGCATTCTCTTTTTCAAACAACTAAATTATTGCAGGAAATCTCACTTCAGGGCAGGAAGGGAATGCACTAGCTAGTGAAAGAAAGCTTTCTAGATAACTCAGCTCCCTGAAAGAAGCAATAGTTCAAAATACTCTTAACAAGGATGCTGCTGAAGCACAGGATTTAATATTGTAGCATTTTTTGGGGTTCTTTTGTAATGATCAGGAACAGAAGTAGTCAATTTTACTCTACAACATATGCAGTATAGATAATTCTGCTTGTACAGCATCCTTGTGGTCAGAACAAAAGACATGCACAAAATATTCATGCTACTTTTGCAATTTCTCATACAAACTAGTATGGATAGTGCATGGCATGTACACTATGTGATTTGCAGGTGTGGAATTACGTTTGCAGTATAATGCACTTTGATAGAAATGGAAGGTCTTGAATATTTTTGTTAGGACAAAAATAATCAAACAGAAAAATTTAGGTTTAGTGTTGTGTACATCAGTATTTCCTGGGACTTGTGGTTTTTACAAGCGAGAATTCTCCATTTGAGAACCAGGGATAGGTTAATAGGTTGTAATAGTGCCCTTTTTTGTGTTTTGTTTAATAATAAGACTTTACAAAGCTGCTATGTACTAACTAATACTCTGCTGGCTGAAAGAATGGGTCTTCCTTCCCTTGATAGACCTGTCCACAAATGCATATAAAAAGTACTTCAGACCCATCATGAAAATGGCAACATTTCTCAGCTAAAACTTGTAGTTTTCACAGCTTTTCACTGAGTATATTGAAATACCAACTCATTACTTCACTTGGAATGCAGTAGTGGAAAACTTCAGATTGCTATTGCTGTTATATATTCACACTCAAAACACTAAATTCTGTTACCTTATACTGTTTTCATCCTGCCCCTTTTGTACTTGCTTTTAAATTTCATTTTATTTTCTGATGTCTTTATTTCCAAACTATGTATTGAGATTTATTTTATTCATTTAAAATAAAAAATAAAACCCTTCCTGCTTTTTTCATAATGTCATCTATGCATTTGAGTTACTAATTTGTAGGCTGAAGAAAAGCTGGACTCCACACAGTGTTTAAGGAGGGATTCTATTCAGTACATATATCCCAGAATTCCACTTGATAATGTGAAGCTTTGGACTTCAGTAGCTAGCACTGAATTTTGTAGTGGGAGGCCAGATTGTCCCTGTGCAGCAGCTCATCAAATATGAAGAGGAGAGATGGTTTTTTGTTTTTTCCTTTCTGTGACAGAGACATGGCAGCAGAATAACACAATGTGGACAGTGCAAGAGCAAGTTTTATCAGTGGATGCGTGGTAGGCTGTCTTCTTAAACTCCCAAGTGAGTGTTAAAAAACATTAAATTTTGAATTATGAAATAAGTCCACAGGAAGGTGTTAAGAACAGAACTGGATGATATTCAAGAGAATGTTTTTATTTAGGCTAATTGGACTATTATCCCTTGTAGAAACCAATCTGTGTTCATTGCCCAAGAAGTTCTCCTGATAAAGGAAAAAGTATAAAGGTGGTGGTGCTAAATTAGAAAAGCTGACCTGTGTGGTGACTTGGGCACCAGCTGTGAGTGGTGAGGACATGGGATTCTGCAGCCAGAAGCATGGGATGCAAGCTTAGCAGGAAACCTGTGCTTACAGCTTTCCTGGCTGGCCCTGCTGGTGCTGCCTCCTCCCCTCCCGTGCTCTTTTAAGGCTTTGCAGTGAAAGAGTTTGCAACAATGGTTACGTAGTTTTTCCATGTTTGGAGCAGATCCTTTGTGAGGAGGCCAGACTGTGTGAATTCAAATAGCTTCAGGTAGGTTTAGATGTTCTATACCTCAAAAAGAGTTCCTACTGTCTGATTTCAAGCAAATCTTTTTTTGTAAAAACCGTTTGCCGAGTAACATAAAGAGAACATTCTCATGTGTAGTGTGCTGGACCCAGCCAGTGACATAATCCCTCCTGTATTCATTCACATGCTTTGACTCTCCCCAGAAAAGACCTTGACAGACCATTTCTTCTAAAACTACATACTGCTAATAAACTTTGAATTGCATGGAATTATAATTAGCTTTCCAAGAGCAACTTTTTTTTCTGTTTTCCCTGTGCATTTTTGCCCTTCAATCAGAGCACCAAGAGACAGTTAACCTAATGGAATAGACTAGAATTCATAGTTTGTCACTTAGCATAAGTAAGCTTTTTCAGCAGTGTTTTTTAAATATAGGACATGTATTTTTAGAGTGGTATGGGTAAGTGATTGATGGTTGGGGGTGCAGATCTTCAGCTGTTTTTTGCATTTGAAATAATAGAGAGACATAGTGGTTGTAAAAGCTGATGGCTTAATAGTCCCAAAATTCATCTTTCTTTGCAGATAGATAGTTACTGCATTAGTTACCTATCAGGTTTCTGCATGCAGCTGGGTTTGGAGGTGCAGAGCTCACCTTGAGGCACAAGGGCACGTGGCTTTGGGTAGTGTGCCTTCAGCCAGGGGCAAACCCATTCCTTGATGTCCCGCAGACACCCTGTATCCAGCATGGAGCAACTGTACTGGGCAAACCTTTGAAAAGGCTTTGCTTTGGGATTTGGCTATGGAGGTTTTAGGTTGTCTTTGAAAAGATATTCTAATTTTATAAGAAACCTTTTTTTCCCCATTGTTCAGAAATCCAAGGAGTTCACAAGTAAGAAAGTCTGTAAGAGAAAAATGCATTGCTCTGGGCAATGAAGCTTACTTTAGATGAGGAAATTTCAGTTTTACTACTTTGTAAAACTCCTAATTGGTGTTATTAAATCCCAGCCTCAAATGAAATACAACAATTTGCAAAGAAATTGCCTTGAAAATTAGGCTTCCAAACATGACTCCCTTCCCCCTTTTAATTGCTACATTTCTGTATGTTCGTGTAGAGAAAATAATCTGATATTCTGTAATTATTGCCTGTGCTTTACTTGGGCTGTAATAAAAATATGTGGATGCACTTGTATCTGTCTTTGTGTTGTATTTAATGAAAGATAAGAGTCCTGAATAAGTTAATACAGAAATAGGAGGTGCTTTACCTGGTCATGGAATGTTATGTTGTTTGAAGATAATTTCTACAGGAAGCAGGGAGCTTTCCTTCTAATGCTAAACAGTCTTCCCCAGGCATGCCTCTCTGGAGTTCAAACTATTCCTTGGGAGACTGGATATTTTGGTAAAATCTAAATGCCTTGAATGAATTGGGGCCTTATTAACAAGTATCATTCAATTAAGGAATGTATTCCCTTTTGGTTTCCTAAAGTAGGTGACTTGAATATTTACTTAAGTGTTAGCAGTCATCCCAAAGGAATTTCTATCTTAATTTCTATCTTAACATCTTAATAAGAGACCCAGCAGTGACTGTACTCTATAAAAAGAATCAGGATCTAGGAAAGCAATGATACATGCTTCAATCAAAATAGTATTAGCCAAGTCATCCCCTGCCTGTTCAAAATAGTGAGTGGGTGTGTGTCCTACAGCCAGGCCCTGTCCTTGGGTTTGGAGCACAGCCCAAGAGCTGCCTTGTGTGTGACAGAGCCTTGGGCAAGGGCAGTGCTCAGAACAAGGAGCAGAGCTTTGGGCTGCTGGGCTGGGTTTTAGTCATGTCATGTTAATGCTTGCTATTTACCAGATCATTTCCACCCATAATTAATGCCATTTTATGCCCTCTGATCCCTCCACCGCCAGCAAGGTTGTTAGTAGGGTAGAGCTGTCTCTAATTTTTAAATATTTCTTTATTTTGCTAAGGGCATTGAACAAGCTGGTGAAAAACCAGGAATTCTCAATCTTCAAGTCTGCCTATGAAGTAAGGGTTGCCCAGTATTTTCAGTGATTCCCTCAGTAAAAGGCACAGGACTGGCCATATTATATTTCTTAGGAAGCAAAAAAAGCAAAAACAGGTTGAAAAAGCAACCTGCTTTAAATACATGAAGTGTTGTCAACTTAATATCTTATTAATGAAGGAAGAGAACCTGTGCTCAGTCAGCCTGTGCTGATGCTGCCAGGCACATCAAAATTGTAGTGCCTTGTTACTCCTGGCACACTTTAATAAGCAAATAGCAGCTAAATAATGTATTGACAGTCAAGGCAATTACATACAGACAATTTATAGAAAGATAATGAGTTTGGGGTCCCCCCCTCCTTTTGGGATTAGATTAACTGTTGAAACAGTACAAATAGTCTAGAAATGTTCTCTAGAAGGAAAAAAAAATGGTAGGTGTATGAGTTTGCTATATATGGAAAAAAGAAATGTGGATTTTCAAGCTGGTACAATAAATGGTCTAGCTGGCAGCTAACCTTTGATTTTTATTTTTGTACCTCCACAGAAAAAGCATAGCCTACTTGTGCAGATGAGATACAAGCTGAAAAGAATGCTCTTGTGTTATATCCACTGCTACTGGCTCTAATAACTTCCCCTCCTCCCTTTTTTGTGTGTGTCTTTAATAATCTTGACTGGTGGAAGTGCCTCTGTAAATCGCGTGAGGATTCCAGCGGTTTGGAAGTCAGTGTCCACCTTGATCTTTGAATATGGCTTCAATCTGATCATTGAATGGATTCTCCTTGCCAAGCACTTGAGGCCACTCATGTAGTGCCTTCTGCCAGGTAATTCCTGTTCCAAGGGCTGCAGCAATCTGCAAACCACAAATATTATTATATTATTATTGGTTTCTTGTGCCTTTGTAATATGGTCATTTCATGCCAGAGTTTAGAAGACCCCACCATAAGGCAGACTGCCCAGTATAATCATGTGATGGACTGTAACCTCTAACCAAAGGAAGTACCCCATTCCAGCTGCTCTAGCAGGGCAAAATCTTCTCAACAGTAAAAAAAGGGTGGGGGCCATATATCTGCAACTCCCTGACCCATCATTTGATAATGATAGTCTGTCTCCAGCCACTTCCAGATGCCTATGGTGTCTAGCCCATAAACTGCTATTTAAAAACCCTGAAGTCTGATTTTTTTTTTTTTCCCCCCTGTGAAACATTTTGAAAGTATGTCAAAAGCACTGCCTGGGTATAATGCATAAAACTCTGGCAAGTCCAAAGGCTCCCAAATGCCTTTGGTTCTTCTAATAAATGTTCTCTGTGCTCTCCTGGGAGGAAACCACAGGTGCTGAGGAAAAAGAGGCCCAATTATTTCTAGTTTCATAACTAACTGTGTCTGATGCTCTAAGTTTGCACCTGCTACTGGGTTGCCTTCAGAGTTTTTTTCCCATGAGACCTGCAGAAATGGTAGAATAGCTTTTCTCCTCAATATCAGTCTCCCTCCAGCTTTCACAGAGCTTTTTGCCCTAGAAGTTATGTACCAAAGAGAAATTTTATCTGCTGTATTGCCAGGGCATAAAACATCAGTGGTAGCAGAAGCGGACAGAGAGAAAAGCCTCAGTCTCCCTTACCCAAGTTTTTACTTCTGCCTTCTAAGGCAGTTTTATTTTACTCCTGACCTGCAGTGATATTTGGCCTATATGGGAACTTTATTTTCAACCCAGACTTTTCAACACACTGCTATTGACTGAAATTATGAGGTTTAAATATGGCTAACAAAGCCTTTTTTTTTTAAAAGGCCAAGGTGGGTTTATGAAATCAAATTATTTGAGTACTGTTGCTTTGGAGTTTGGGAAGATACTGGACCCTGTGGGGAATTTTTATGTGCTACTCTTTTAATCCTGTGCTTGAAAAGAAGCTCTAACTATGGTCTGGAAAAGAAAAATCTTTCTTTTATTTAAGGGCTCATGTACAAAGAGTAACATTTGTGGGGCGGAGGCTCTTAGGCTCTGGTTAACAAACTCAAAGTTTGTTAAGCTAATGAAGGAATTGGAACAGGGAAGAGGGATAGTAGAGATTTGTTCATTAGAGGGTTTTCTCCTGGTTGCAGTTTCTATTGTGAACAAATGTTATTCTGGGACACCCTATGGCAGCCAGGGGGCTGAGACCCATCCCTGTCAGAGTGGTCCATTCTGGCATGGTGGTCTCCAAACCTCCTTCACATTCCTCCCTAAGCCTTCCCTGTGTTTTTTAGTGGGATCGGTGGGGTTGGTTTAAAAAACCCAATTGTCTTTGCATGGTACACCCTTTGCAAAGGTATCCCTGGAGGTATGCTCTACAGTGTTCAGACTACTGCTGACTCTAATTTAAGGTACGTGTGCTTAGACTGCCCTAAATTGAATTAGGTTCTGCGCACACATAATTTCTTGACGTCCCGATGATTTCAATAATTAATTCTGGATGAGTAGTTTAGCACAGAGAAAGGTTTGTGACTCTGGAAATTGATTTCTTGCAGGTCTTTTTTAAATTCCAGACTTCTTGCACTTTGAGACGTGGTATAATTTTTATAAGCTTTGCAATTATTTTTTTTGTTGTGAAAATGACAACCCCTAAGCAAGTTTTTAAAAGGGAATATTACCCATTCCTAACAGAGCTCTGGGTGACTGCAACTGGGAGGCAGCTGTGGTTTTTCAGCAGCTTCTGGCTATCTGTTTTCTCCTTCTGCACCAAACAGGTGATAGGCATGATTCTCAGTGAAGTGTAAATACCCAACTCATCTGATATGCGTCACTTCAGCTTTCCCTCTATTTCTGGCTGGAACGTGCTTTGCTATGACTTGAGGAAGAAAAAGGGAGAAGCTAATCACACTCAAGCTGTGCTTTCCTGCCTGTACATAAACATTAAGAGTCTTCCAAGCATCTCAGGTTCCAGTTTGTGATGCTCAGGGCTTTCACATTCTCCCTGGAAACATCATAAAAGCAAGAAGTGAAGCCGTTTATGCAGGATCCTGTTGAAATGCATGGCTCTGTCATCCAAACAAAGCAATCGACTGTTCTAGAGGGAAGTGGTGTCCTTGAAGCCATCTGGCATTCACAAGGATTTGCAGTAAAATTTTGTAGTAAGGAGGAGATGCTGAAGAAAATCTCTGGGCTCCCTCTATAGTCACTGGGAGGAGAAAGTCAGATTTTTTTCCAAGGACAACCAAGCTGGACTTTGGGGAATGGTGTCTCAAAAACAGCTCTAGAGGGAACTTGGGAGGACTGAGTGAATCACTTTGCTTTTAGGTGTTAAAAGTAAATAATGTGAATTTCCTCCACCTCCATCCTGAGCTGTTTGTTTTGGAAAAAACTTTGTGGAGGCAAATTTTAGCTTTGAAACTTTACTGGAATGCAGCTATGCCAAACATGAGTGTTTTGTTTGCTCCCTCCTGTTTTCCAACTTAAAAAAAACCCAAAACATTCAGGAAAACCCTTTTCCTGTAGGTAATTTACAGGAAGGGAATGTAGTGTAGAGCTGTCTCAAATTTTTAAATATTCCTTTATTTTGCTAAGAGTATTGGATAAAAACACAGCAATTCTCCATCTTCAAGTCTGCTCAACAAATCAGCTCTTGGTATTTATCCCATCCTTCACAATTTTTTCATATAAAATATTGCCTGGAGTGGAAACCATGTGGGCTAGTTTTTCCAGCCTGGGTGCCTTTTTCCAATGCATGAAAAACTGCACTAGCTCTGACGGGACAGGCAAGTGGGGCCTTTTTTCTTATTTTCTTTTCCTTCTCCTTGCAAGGTATGCATGCTTTAATTAGAATGGTTCAGTTCCCTCCCACATCCCTCCAGAATGTGTGGACCTCTGGACTCATGGATATACATGCTGACACCTGATTCTGCCATGTTTATACCAGCAGACACTTTTTTTTTGTTTTTTTTGGTTTTTTTTTAATTAAAGACACAATGGATAAACAGCATGTAAAACTCGGGGGCTGACAAGAGCCACCAGCTTATCCTGCCCATGGCTGTACCACAGTGATTAGGGATCACCTAGTGATCACTTTTGCCAGCTCAACCTTGGGTTGAAAGGGACACAGAAAGTGGTTCCTTCATCCCAAACTTCAAAATTTCTTTTTATTGAAGGAAAGAGATAAGGTGTTTCTGCTTTCCTTGGAGCGCTTCTCAATCCAAGAATTTGGAAATATTTGT